ATTGAGCAAATGCATTTAATATTTATCACTTCATCTTTGTCGTACAAAGTAATTTTGCATGCATTACTTCATTTTGGGTTTCACAACAATCCCGTGCAGCAAGTAGACTAGGTTGTTGGCATCATTAGAGAGATGCTTTCAACTTGTCAAATTTGTCATAACTCTTAAAATCAACAGGTCTGCCAAAAGCTTTTAGTGTGTGACTGCTGTTGCGAATGCTCATGCATTAAAGAGAACACTTTCAATTGTCTACTAAGGAGGGTGCTTTCCCCATGCCTACTGCCTTTGTTTAACAAAGACTAAAATAGCTAACTGCTATGGAAATGCTAACTCCTTTGTTACAAATTCAGTTGCTTAGATTAGTGCTATACCACTGTGTAGCATGAAGTTCAATTTTTGTTGAACTCTCCAAAATCGCTATTAAATTTTTCCTCAAGAAGGTGAAAAAAAAAAAAAAGAATAGCACTTCCTGCTCTTGGAGAGGACCAGGGTTTGGTTCCCTGCACCCACCTGTAACTCCACTGCCTGTAACTCCAGCTCCTGGGGATCTGATACTCCCTGCTGGTCTCTAAGACACACACACACACACACACACACACACACACACACACACACACACACACAGAGGACACACAGACACAAACACATAAATTAAATCTTGTTTAAAAGGAGTATTTACTCAGAGGAGCAAGCATCTTACAGCTCTGTTAGTATTTCCTTGTGTAGTTTGTTTAGAATGCCTCTTGTTGTCTTTCTTGATTTGTGACCTTTTATGTTTATAATTTTGCCAGCCTCCCCGAAGTCTGGTGAATATTAACATTGTTTACGTTCAGTCTGTATGAAGTGATGCTCCATCATACATACACGTTATGAAATGATTGATACATTCCCCACATCAGTTAATTACTGTTTGTGTGTCTGGTCAGGATGTATTTATGAACTTTTTGAAAAAGAACATTTATTTATCCTATGTGTATGTGTGCACTAGTTACAGGACAGGGATAGCAGCAGAGTCATCAGCACCCAGCTCTGCATGAGGGAGCCAGCTGGGTGTGGTCATGCAGGGAGCAGCATCTCTATTGGTGACACCAGCAAGACTGAAACTGAGAATGGGGGACTCTGGAGGAATGGAGCTCAGTAAAGAAGAAAGGCTTGAAACCAGATGTGGTGGCACACACCTTTAAATCCATCACCCAGCAGGCAGAGGCAGATAGAGCCCTGTGAGTTCAAGGTCAGCCTGGTCTACACAGCAAGTTCCAGGGCAGCCAGGGCTACCTAGAGACTCTGTCTCAAAAATCAGATAGATGGCATTAGAATGTAAACAGTGAGCTTTAATCCTAATGTTGTAGAAGTGGAACCCCAGGTCATTATGGGTCCTAGGGAGTAAGTGGCACATGGAGCCGACTGCTGACTGTACAGAATGAGGTCTGATGGTCCTTCACGCCTGCTGCTGATCTGCTGAGCTCCGGTTTTACAGCTTGCGGTGTAGTTCTTTAACACGTGTGCGCTTGGTTAGAGAGCAGAGATCGTTGTCTGACCTTATAAATATAGTTAACAAAGCTAAGCTGAATACCTAAGAAATGTGATTTCCATGCTACTGAATTAAATATCAGAACACACTTTCCTATTCCTGGTATTAGGACAAAAAAGATGATGCTCTGATCGGCCTGAAGTCCACGGCGCTGCTGTTCAGGGAGAACACCAAGAAGTGGCTCAGTGGCTTTGGGATCACCATGCTGGGAGCGCTGAGCCTTGCAGGAGCCAACTGTGGTCAGACCCTCCCCTACTACGCTGCTGTGACCGCGGTAGGAGCCCACCTGGCTCGTCAGGTTTGACTTTCTGTACTGTAAGTTATGGGAGTGGTCTTGAAAATAACCCTGATAGCCAGGCAAGGGACTTCCTGAAACAAACTCTTAGTTTGTATTGCTTTGAACTGCCCCCCCTCCTCCTTAACTTCTCATATCAAAAAATTAGCATTTCTAGGTGTGGTGGCACAGACCTTTAATCCCAGAACTCAGCAGACAAAGGCAGGCACATCTCTGTGAGTTCAGGGTCAGCCTGGTCTATGTAGTGAGTTCCAGGACAGCCTGGGCTGTCTCAAAACAAACCAACAAAATAAAATTTAGAGAAACTAACATAAATCTAAATTTTATTTTCTCCTTTGATTTTCCTGAAATTACCTCTGATGTGTCTGGAAAATTTTCAACTGTATCTGAAGCTTATGGGTTGAGTTGACACAACTTAAAATAATAGTAATAATAATAAAATAGGGTCAGACAGGTCACTCACCTGGTGAAATTAGACTGGAAAGATAGCTCGGCAGTAAGAGCACTTGCTGTTCTTGTAGCAGACCCAGGTCCAGTTTCAGGTTACCCCCTCTACACTCTCTCTCTCTCTCTCTCTCTCTCTCTCTCTCTCTCTCTCTCTCTCTCTCTCTCTCTCTCTCTCCCTCCCTCCCTCCGCCTTACCCCTCCCCTCTTCTAACTTGCTATGGAAAAGGAAGTCCTGGTTTTGAGTCTGCTGACACCATAATAGAAAAGAGAGAGTTTGTGCCAGCCAGGCCTGTGGCATACAGTGCTATCCAAAATTCAAAGCCAGTCCCAGCTACACAGTGATTGAGGCCCTGTCCAAAATGGAAGGGAAGAAGGAAGGAAAGTTGAACGAGGCTTTTTGGTATATCCACAGGACCGTGTGAAAAGAGAATGTGTGTGATCTAGGTGCCAGGCCACAGACCTGGGTCTCTGGATCCCCTGTGAGCACAGGAGGGAGTTAGAAATGTACCAGTAGAACACCTCTGGTTGTCATAGTAACCTAGGAGCATCCTTCATTTAGTGACTGAGAGCCAGAAATATGCAGAGCCTTTCATCACCCCCCACAGTGTAGCTGTTCTGCTCAAATCAAACTTTTCTCATTTGAGACACTGCTGTGGAAAATAAAGCCAGAGCCCGGAGCTTCAGGGCCCATGACTTCATGTGCTCAAGGCTAGTGGAGATCCTTTCCTGAGTGCTGGGGGCCAGAAGGCTTCGATTAACTTTTTAAAAAGTTTAAAAAGTTTGCAGTTATCGGCATATACATAATAAATGTCTTGGGAATGGAACTTAAATTGAAACATGAAATTTACATGTGTGTCATGTCTGTCTTAGTCACATGGCCAGAAGGTACTTGCATACAATGATTTCAGAGCGCCTGTATCCTGACTGATTCATCACAGAAAGCCACGTGTGCAGTTTCCAGTTGCTGTGTTAGTTTTGGACATTGGAGTACTTCATGTTTGTTTGTTTGTTTGTTTGGAGAAGTCCAACCTGTGGATAGAACCAAGCATAGCAATGGATTGCTTCTCAGAACATTTGCACACCTCAGCCAGAGCATTTAGAATCCAGCTGAGTGATTCCCCAGGAAGAAATGTTTTGATCTTTCTGCATTGGAAGATAGGGTGTAATAACGGCTTCCTATAACTTACGTTTTCTCTGAATAGATTGCCTGTGCTGCCTAAACTTGCTTTCTCTTTCAGATATACACTGTAGATATCCACCGGCCCGAGGACTGCTGGGACAAATTTACCTCCAATCGCACACTGGGAATACTCTTGTTTTTAGGGATCGTCCTGGGGAATTTGTGGAAAGAAAAGATGGAAGAAACAAAACAACCTGAAGATGTTAGAGTGGAAAATTAGCAAATCAGCTGAGTTTGGTGGCATAATCAGGGAGCAGAGGCAGGAGAATCGAGAGTCCAAAGCCATTCAGTGACAGTGGGAGCCTGTCTCGAAGAAGAGTAAATGGCTTGGGTTGTAGCTCACAGGTAGAGGGTATGCTGACCCACTGTGCAGCATGCCCAAGGTTCTGGGTGCCATCAGAGCAAATAAGGCCACTTATAAAACACTCAGGACTAGAGAGAACATTGTTAGATTTGTCTGAGCAATCTGTTGAGAAGCAAAAGGTATGTGAGTAGAGTGTTTGTTGGTCTTTAATGCAGCTGTTACCTAGCAAAATGCCTCCGTGTCATAGCCGCTAGGGACTCCTCTGGGTTAGGTAGACCCCAGCTTAAACTGGTGCATCCTTGCGTCCTTGTCATTTTCTTCTGAAGTTTCAGGAACTTTAGAAAAAAACTTGATGTGTAACTCATCGAAATTAATGACTTTTATGAAAGTGACCATATGCTTTATTTCTCACTGAGACTCTTATGTGATGAGTTGGGGCACTTTATTCTTTCTTGTGATCCCTACTCACTACCAAAGCTGTAATTCAAGGAGCCATTCTGATTGTGGATGCTTTAGGAGAGTGTAAGCGAATAAATTGTTACTATTACCACCCATGTATGTGACTCACTCTCATGACAGCCCTGACATGACCAGTCATAGTTTATAGGATGTTAACACATTATATAAATGAACTCTTTCCTCCATGTTGCCCTTTTAATACGTTTCTATCGAAGCAGCCAGAAAACCTAAGTAAAGTCAAATTGTTTCCCAACCCACCCTCCAGTGCTCTGGTTAGTCAGGACACCCTCAGGTCTGACGCCCTGCCAGGCCTCCATGATTGGATCTCCTCTCTACCTTCAGATTCTCACCCACAATAGACAGGCTGCCCACCTTACGCCTCAGCCTGAGCACACACCCAACCCAGGGTCTTTGCACTTACTATTCGTAATGCCCAGAGACTTCTGCCTTTCCCTCACAGCAGGTCCTTAAATGCCGCTCTCTAAAGAGCTTTTAATTCAACAAACACCACCTGTGTTTCTCTTCATTCTTTTTAGGTTTTTTTTTAATGTGATAAGGGTTTTGCATGCATGCATATGTGTTCACCATGTGTGTACCTGGTGCCCACGGAGATCAGAATGGAGTTAAGGATGGTCGTGAGCCACCTTGTGGGTGCTGGGGACTGAACCCAGGTCCTCTGCAAGAACAGGCGTTCTTTACCACTGAGCCATCTCTCCAGCCCAGTTTTGTTTGTTGTAGTATGCTTTTTCTTCTCTTTTATTTTTATTTCATATTTATGGATGTTTTGTTAGCAGGTATGTTTGTGTACCACATGTATGCAGGGCCCACGGAGACCAGAAGAAGACATCAGATCCCCCTGGTTCTGAAATTACAAACAGTACTAGCTGTTCTGTGGGTGCTGGGAATTGAACCCTGGACCTGTGGAAGAGCCGCCAATGCTCTTAACCGCTGAGCCATCTCTCCAGCCCCACCAGTATTTCTTCCCATCTGTGCTCCTGATTTTTTTCCTTTGTCATTAATTATTAAGCTGAAGGGTACTTCACTTGATGTAAGCAGCTGTTACTGATTGGGAGGTGACTTCTATATATGGTTGTGGTACTGCGTTAGCCTGAATGACAGTAGCGGCAGCACGAGCCACTGAGAAGCCTGGGGTATGTAGCCGGGGCTGGAGTTCCTGCAGCACTCTGTCCAGATGTCACACAGCAGCAGCTGTACGTGCCGCACAGCAGCAAAGTGAGGCGTTCACAGGGAACAGGCACCAGGAGAAGGGTTAGAGAGAGATGACCCAGCAGCTGGACTGCAGAGAGGCGGCCCCAATCTGCAGCTGGACTGCAGAGAGGCGGCCCCAATCTGCAGCTGGGTTCCTATCTCACTGTTATCTCCCTGGATCAAAGGGGCCGTCTGGGCTCAGATGAGGCGATGGGAAGATAGAGAAAGAAAGGGGGGTGGAATTCCGTCTCCCTATGAAAGACGGGCCCAGAGCCCCTCAGTCTGGAGAACCCACCCCTCGGGACAGGTTTTCTGGTCTGCTTCAACAAACTGCCATCGCTGTCATCATCATTGTCGCCCCTACCCCAGTCTTTCTTTGTTCCTGGGTTCCAGTTCTTTGCCTCTGGCAAGAACCCGGACACCTGGGCAGCCAGCACCCAGGATGAGAATGCTTGCTTTCTACTTTTAAGATAACATGATCTCCTTAGATTTTATCCAATTCTGACTGCATTGGAATACAATTTAAATCTTTGTTATTTCTGTTTCCAGACAATGCAAAAAAAAAAAAAACATAAGTTTTGAAATGCTTAGACCTCTATCCATTTGCACTGACTGAATTCAGTCAGAAGGCAGAATGTGATGAATTTCAGTTGTTTCTCATTTTCCTACATGAGCAAATGAAAGTCAGAGGGTAGCAAACCTTAAAGTTAGTGAAAACTCAGCACTCACGATAAACAGGATGGTTGAGTCACAAATTCTGTCTTTCATAAAAGATGCTTCAACTTCGGTTGTTTTAGGCTTTTCCCTTTCTTCCCTGTTGAGGCTGAAGATGTCAGGTGGGTAAAGGAGAGATGGGAACACAGATGGGGTAGGTCATAAGCTCCAACATTGACAGTCAACCACGTTCAAGCCAAGGAGGAACCCAGCAGCCGCCCAAGGCCTGCCAGGACTACCTTGTCCCAGCTGGGAGTGAGGGTGCTTGCTGATGTGATGGGTTAGGGTATTGGTCTGGCCTTGAGGAATGTGCTAGATGGAGACCCTTGCCCCATCCACTCCTGAGCCTGTGGGTAGAGCAGAAATAGGTAAAAGAGCTTTATAGCCCAGACAGAATGGTGGGGTGAAAATAAGACAGGAATTGAAGGGTCCAGATATTACATCCCAGTGCTACCTCCCCCCTTCCTGACACCCTACACAAACACACACATACACACGCACACACACACACACATACACACACACCTTGGGTCATGCTTAGCTATCCTATGTTAGCAGCATCACCAGCAGAGAAGATGCAGAGGGCCCAGCCCCAGGCAGGTGAACTGCTGGGAGTCCTTGAGACACTCCAGGTGGGAGCCCTTAGACTCACGTTGTCATCTGCATTTAGCTGAGCTGGCCTATGCCTGCCTGCTACGGGCAGAGTCTTAGCCATACCTAGACTGAAATCCTAACCCTGAATATCTCACATGGCTGCACTTGCAGAGTGGGACTCTGAGGGAATGACTAGCTAAACACGAGATTCCAGATGAGCTGCTGTCCTGGTAAGTAGAGAAAATGGGAATACGAGACAAGTGTGGGCTGCGCGTGGTGGTACACACCTGCAATCCCAGCTGTGACAGGTGGAGGACTGTGTTCCGGGTCAGCCTGAGCTACAAAGCCAGACCATTTCAAAAGAGAAGACCTGGAGGACTAACTGCAGAGACGGACCCTCCGAAGTGCAAAAGGGTGGTAGCAGGGAGGCCTCGTGACCTCACTTCGGGCTCTGGAATCATGAGAAGGTTCGTTTTCTTGTTTAAGAGTCCTGGGAAGCATCGAGCCTGCCGTGTGAGGTCACACTTATAAGCTCTGTTACCCCCTGCACCCCAGTCCTGTGTTTTGTCTCTTAGCTCAGGTTCTGGCCCTTCCTGTGTCTGCTACTGTTGTGAGCTAAAAAAAAAAAAAAGATCCCAGAACTTACTAATGTTACCATATAGGGTAAAGGCACTGCAAGCATGACTGAGCGAAGGGCCTGGAGACAGGAAAATAACCCTGTTGCATCTAGAATATGGAGCAATCACGGAGATAGCAGGGGATCAAAGGAAGTAGTAATAAGAGATGCAATCACAGAAAGCAAGGTTTGCAGTGATGTAAGGGAAGGGTCATGCACCAAGGAACGCAAGTGGCCTTTCTAAACTAAAAAAGCCCAGGACGAGGGCTCGTGTTTCAGCATGCAGACTTGCTGACACCCTGACTTCAGCCCAGTGAAGCAGATTTGAGGCTTGTGATTTCCAGAACTATAAGCACACACATTTGATGTATAAGAATTTGTTATGTATAAAGTGAACAGACAATTCCAACTCTAATAGCCTAGCTTCTGGATTCCCTGGGAACCTGGTCCATAGCACTGAAACGGTGCTAGGAACTATGTCCTAGTCTTAGCCATAGCAGCCTGGTTTGGGATCACAGCGATTCCACTCATCTCTCTGAGGTCTGGGTGTTCAAATACATTTCTCGTGAGTTGAGAATGTTTCTGTCTCCCCTGTTGGAAAGGCAAACTCGGAGCCCCGTGTCCACCCCTGGGATGTCCCCAGCACGCCACACTGAAAGCACGTGACTACTTGCCATTCCTTGTGATGGGTGAGCTGACTTTTGAGAGCTCCATTAGGTGCAACCCCCAGGCATCGTTACTGTACTTCATTGACCTCACAGTGTCAGGTGTCACAGTGAGAATGTTCCTATTTCGTGTGCACATGATCAAAGCTGTGTAAAACATGTAACGATACTCATGAAAAATATGAGAAAGGTTCTAGGTCATGCAGCTTCTAGCGTTACTGCTTTGCCTCGTAACAAAAACTGGAAAGCCATCAATTCTAGTTTCTTGTTTGAAACCAACCTGTGAGTGGGACCTGTCAATAGTCAGCATAATCTGTACCTTTTCATGTTTGCCTTTAAAAACAGACCTCCAGGCCAGCCGGGATGGAACACACCTTTAATCCCAGCAGTCGGGAGACAGAGGCAGGCCTCTATGTACTTATCCATCATTTTCAAGGCTTACAGAGTCCAGAGAAGATTGGGTGTGATACTGTGAACATTTTTATGGCTCGAGAAACATTTTCTCAAGTTGCCCTCCAGAAAGATCTGCATCTCCATCAGCAGTGCACACGGCCTCATTCCTGACTGTAGTCAATGTGGAGATATATTTGTTTGTTCCTTAACAGCAACTAGGCAGGAATAAGTTCTTTTACAACCTGTGATCACCAGTGGCACTTAATATTTTGCAATGTGTTAACAGGAGACTTATATTCCTTCCTTATGGCTTGTCGTCGGGGTGCCTTTGCCGGTTGGGTGACAGTTATTGTGGGTGCATGCTGCCTTGTTGAATCGTGAGTACCTAGGATCTGACATCAGACAGACTCGTTCTCATTGATAAGTCCATCATTTTATTGGTATTGGGAGGAGTTTAGATTTAGTTCTTTATACAGAACTGTCTCTTCCGTGGAAAAAGGAGCACATTTAACATCTGTAGATGACCTCACCAATGTGTCCTGGCTAGTCACCAAACAGTTGAAACATCACCATGTGGGAGACCCAGGCTGCTTGCTGGGACACAGATGAACCAGGCAGCTCCCATCTCCCAGAAACCCACAGTGTAGTAGACAGCACCTTGCCATCCAGTATGGCAGCCCCAGGAAGCTCTTCTGAACCGAAGCTCTGGAAGTGTAAAATGCACTTATGAAAGCTTTGTACCAAAACACTCAAACTACTGGGGAATCGGAAGCAGGACATTTCCGAGTTCAAGGTCTAGGCTACAGAAAGAGTTCAAGGCCAACATAGGTGGCATAATGACTTCAAAACAAAAACTGACAAGGAACCTGGTGATACATCGCCCTGTTAGCACATGCCTCACAACTCCAATGCATGCGTTTTTCTTGAAGGCAATTTGTGACATAGTCAACGCAATAAAACTTCAGTGTTAGAGTACAAGAAAGGAGGGTATTGAATTCACGGAAGACTCTAAAGTTGGTCTGGCCAACAGGAAGTTCCTGACTCTAAACTGCAAGCTGGTGATAGTACTGAATACTCCATGGGGGAGGAGGGGCTTTGGAGTGGGGCACACCTGGAGGTGAAGCTCTCAGAGTGACCCCAACCTAATTACGCAGACTTGGAGCATTCAGAGGTGTGTCTGCAAATGCAAGGAGGAAAAAGTGGAATTAATTTCAGGCCATATGACTAAAACCTCAATCAATAGGCTGCAAATTACTTTGGCATCGAGTCCCAATCCTGATAGTGAGCCCCGCCTGGGGGTAGTTTGGCTGCATCGAAGCTAGGTTGGATACAGTGGCAGGTAGTCAGGGGCTGGATCAGGTGGTGTGAGAATTGCATGATGAAATGGCTTAAGCCCTCTGTGCTTGTTTTCATTGTTCTGTTTTGTGGTTTTGCCATAGTGATCGAACCCAGACTTGTATAAGAGCTAGGTGAGTCTCTACCGTTGAGCTATGTCCATTTTACTATTTTTAGTTTGAAGGAAGGGCTCACTGAGTTGCCCGGCCTTTGACTCATTCCACAGTGAGGGTTGGCCCCGCAGTTTGGTCCTCCCGTCTCGGCCTCCTGGGTGGAAGGATTGGCAGGCCTGGCCTAGATTCACCTACACACTGATTAAGCACAATACATGCTTCTGCCCTGTACCTCTGCCTTGAACCTGACCTGACAGAAGCCAACGCCGACCGCCCACTTGATGTTTTTACTTCAACACCAGAAAGTGCTTTCCAACCTAGATGCTCCCAACTGAATCCCACCCTCCCATCCAGCCTTCTTGACCCACCCACCTCCCTAGCATCGGTGTTCATTCTTTGTTTTCCATGGCCAGAGCCAGGCAGTTATCAGTGACTCCTCCCCCAGATGCCACACCCCCAAATCCAGAGCCCCTGAGCTCCACCTTCGAATACCACAGACAGCCTGACTCTCTTCCCATCTCTACTGCCCCCACACTGATCCAAGTCACCTTCCTCCCTCCCGAGGATCACGGTGGTGGCTTCCTAATTAGTCCTCACCCCCCACAGCACCGCATCTGTCCACTACTCAGGTCCTGTCAGTGACTCCAGCCTCCCTCAGGGTCCAGCTGAGGTCCTCAGATGGCCGAGCTCTGGCTCACCTACCCCATGCTTCCTCTGCTCCCTCCCTCCCTCAGTTCTAGGAACACTCCCTCAGATGTTGTCATGGCTGCAGATGTCTCCATCTCAGTGAATCCTCGTTTGTCTTTGTTTTCTGGCATCACACGCCACACATGAGCCTCGTTATGCTTTCCCCGTTTTATCTCTGTAAGAAGTTGATTTGTCTTTATTATGGGTTCTTGACAGCCAGATGCTAAGCTGCGCAGGGCACAGGTGCTTTCTGTGCAGATCAGTGCGCTTTCCCATCGTTGCCAGGAACCCTATCTAGAGTGGCTGCTGGATAAACACTAGCTGCTCCTGCATGCAAAGACTTCAAAAGCACACCGAGTGCCCAGTGAGTATGGTCACGGTCAGCATTCTCTCTGCCCTCCAGCTTCTCTTTCCAGAGCAGTTTATGAAGAGCTGTTCACCAATGAGCAAGCGGGACTCTCCGAGTTTTATTTTAGGAAAAGAATTCTAACATTTAGTTCCTAAGCCTAAACATCTTAAACGGCTTCAACTGAATGAGAGTTGGGAAATACAGAACAGAAAATGAAGAACTTGTCAAAAATGTGGTTGGGAAAAAGTGGTCCACCCATCCATCAGTGAGCACACGGACATGAAGAAGAGTGAGTTCTGGGACAGCCAGGACTGTTACACAGAGAAACCCTGTCTCAAGAAAAGAAAAGAAAAGAAAAGAAAAGAAAAGAAAAGAAAAGAATAGCGCTTTTATACCACAGTCCCAGGCTGCTCTGTGACCACAGCCCTCCTAACATCACGGCACCTGGGTGGCAGGCGGAAACCCTGCACAGGCCCATCCGCCAGCCCATCTCTTCTGCACCCTGCAGCCTTGGCCATCCTTGCCTGCACAACTCCTCTCCAGTCCTGACTGAATTACTGGCCAGCATCAGCTCTTAACTCCCTGAAAGGGTGATCTACTTGTTCATAGATCATAGACAAGCAGGCCCCAGCCTGCCAGCAGACGTGCCCAGTGTCCTCAACTACATTGTCTCCAGGGTATCAGCTTGAGGAGACGGACTCTCCTCAAGTTCCTTCTATCCAGTGTTCTTTCATCAGCCGTAGGGTACCCCTGAGCTCTACTTATTCCTCTTAGTCACTCTCTTAGAATAGTTAATAATCTGTACGTTCAACTCTCCCTGGTCAAATTACGCTTGGCCTCTGGTCTAGTACCCAAGTCTGACAGACAGAGAACAGGACCTCTGATAACCTCTGGGCCAGAACCTTGGAATAGGTTGCTCATTCTCCTCAAACCCCATCCCCATACACATATACCCATCAAACACACCCCCAAACACACACACACACACACACACACACACTCATCAATCACACACATTAATCATGCTCATTCCAATCTCACACACACACACCAATCACACACACACCAATAGCACACACTGTTCATACATCCATACCTAGTATCAAATCTCATACTTCAGTAGGGCAGTTGCACACTATAAAAATCTGCAGTTTTTTAAGGGGAACCGATAGTGAAATTATTTCAAGGGATGAGGAACTTCTTTGAAACTGAACAGCTATCCACAGAGCTTTTGTTCTTTAGAAAATACTTTTGTTTTCTCTCCCCCCTCCCCTCACTGCCTCAACTCCTCCCTCCTTCCTATCTAGAAATCGGACAAACAATAAAGGCAAGGGAAAAGGAATTTTTCTTCAATTCTGGAATCACTGCTAATCCATGCCAAGTTTTAAAACACTCCCTTAGGACAGGACAGTCTGTACAAGTGATTTACTTCTATCAAACAAAAGTGGCAAAGATTCAAAGTCCCACAAGCTACTGATCTGGCAGGAGGGACAAAGGGAGTGCCAGATGCTGGTCTAGGCACCTTGCTTCTGCGGATTGGTCCTCAGGTGTGGGAACCCAAAGTCTGATTGTCCACATCAGCGGCATTGTCCTCTGACCTGCAGGATAATCTGCTCTGTAGGAATCGATAAAGACGAAATAGCTGAGGACTCTATGCTGGGCCAGTGCCAAGTGAAAGAGAAACTGTGTGCAACAAACGCCTGCCTCAGGCTGTGTACAGCACTCAGATAGTTTGTGGGTAAGAGCTTTCCGAGACCCTTGGAAGGAGCTCACCCCGGAGGCAGCAGCTTTCTGGGTGCAGCACTAAGACTGTCCCTTTTCTGAGTTGTAACTCAAAAGAAACACTTTTCCTTTCCTGCCTCTGTATCTCCTCTCAGGATACCGATCAAAACCCTAAGCATGCTTGTCCTGCTGCCCTGGGTCTCTCAGTGTTCCCGATGTTCCTACAGCTCCCTGTAGACTTCAGTAGGCTTGACTTTCTTCCTCTTTCCACGCCTCCGCCCACTCCCACCCCCCACCCCCCACCCCCACCCCGCCCGCAGTGGCCACCAGGACTCACAGCTGGCCTTTCCTGTTTTTCTTTCCAACTCTATTAAGGTGATCGACAAGCTTCCTTCTGAGCCCATTCAAAAATTCTTTTATCAGCCAAGTGTGGTGGTGCATGCACACGCCTTTCATCCCAGAACTCTAGACAGAGGCAGGTGTGCTCTATGAGTTCGAGGCCAGCCTGGTCTACAGAGTGAGTGCCAAGACAGCCAGGGCTGCATAGAACGACCTGTTTCAAAAAAACAAACATCTAAACAAATAAATAAAATTCTTTTACCAATGAGACTGAGCACCTGCAAAAGGGAACCCCTGATTCCCCTGTAACATGCCTATGCCTAGATTTGCAAAAGGGAACCCCTGATTCCCCTGTAACATGCCTATGCCTAGATTTGCAAAAGGGAACCCTGATTCCCCTGTAACATGCCTATGCCTAGATTTGCAAAAGGGAACCCTGATTCCCCTGTAACATGCCGATGCCTAGATTTGCAAAAGGGAACCCTGATTCCCCTGTAACATGCCGATGCCTAGATTTGCAAAAGGGAACCCTGATTCCCCTGTAACATGCCTATGCCTAGATTTGCAAAAGGGAACCCTGATTCCCCTGTAACATGCCGATGCCTAGATTTGCAAAAGGGAACCCTGATTCCCCTGTAACATGCCTATGCCTAGATTTGCAAAAGGGAACCCTGATTCCCCTGTAACATGCCGATGCCTAGATTTGCAAAAGGGAACCCTGATTCCCCTGTAACATGCCTATGCCTAGATTTGCAAAAGGGAACCCTGATTCCCCTGTAACATGCCGATGCCTAGATTTGCAAAAGGGAACCCCTGATTCCCCTGTAACATGCCTATGCCTAGATTTGCAAAAGGGAACCCCTGATTCCCCTGTAACATGCCGATGCCTAGATTTGCAAAAGGGAACCCCTGATTCCCCTGTAACATGCCGATGCCTAGATTTGCAAAAGGGAACCCCTGATTCCCCTGTAACATGCCGATGCCTAGATTTGCAAAAGGGAACCCTGATTCCCCTGTAACATGCCGATGCCTAGATTTGCAAAAGGGAACCCCTGATTCCCCTGTAACATGCCTATGCCTAGATTTGCAAAAGGGAACCCCTGATTCCCCTGTAACATGCCTATGCCTAGATTTGCAAAAGGGAACCCCTGATTCCCCTGTAACATGCCGATGCCTAGATTTGCAAAAGGGAACCCTGATTCCCCTGTAACATGCCGATGCCTAGATTTGCAAAAGGGAACCCTGATTCCCCTGTAACATGCCGATGCCTAGATTTGCAAAAGGGAACCCTGATTCCCCTGTAACATGCCTATGCCTAGATTTGCAAAAGGGAACCCCTGATTCCCCTGTAACATGCCTATGCCTAGATTTGCAAAAGGGAACCCTGATTCCCCTGTAACATGCCGATGCCTAGATTTGCAAAAGGGAACCCCTGATTCCCCTGTAACATGCCTATGCCTAGATTTGCAAAAGGGAACCCTGATTCCCCTGTAACATGCCGATGCCTAGATTTGCTCTTTGGGTTTCTTGCCTTCTTGCTGTCTGAACTACAAGAACCCATGCTGTACAGGCAGTAAAAGGCCCAAGGTGGAGAGTAAAGGATTGGTAGAAGAATCCTGAGTGCCTGAGAGATTGCTTGACACATAGCTACCTGCCAGTCTGGCCTACTATTTAAAATCAGTGTATTCAGCTGGGTGGTGGTAGTACACGCCATTAGTCCCAGCACTCAGGAGGCAGAGGCAGGGAGATCTCTGTGAGTTCGAGGCCAGTCTGGTCTTCAAAGAGAGTTCCAGAACAGTCTCCAAACCTACAGAGAAACCCTGTCTCTAAAAACAAAACAAAACAAAAAAAATCAGTGTATTCACTTTGGGCTATTATTTAAAAGCAGTGTGTTCCTTTTTTGGGTGAGGGGAGTGAGACAGGATTTCTCTGTGTAACAGCCTGGATGACCAGCCTGGCCTCGAACCCACAGAGATTCACCTGCTTACACACACACACACACACACACACACACATACACACACACACACACAGTGCTGGCATTAACGGCATGGGCCACCGCTCCTGGCAAAAGCAGTGTATTCTTTTTTGCTGGGCATCCGCCTTCCAGCTGCTCTGCCTTACCCTGACCGAGCAGGTGCCTGGTGGAATGAGCAAGTCTATAAGCATAGGATGTGCACTTCCTCTTGTTGACGGACATGCAGGTTTGGATCTGAGACTGGACACCAGAGTTGCGTGAGAACGTGAACGGGGTGACACTAACCAATCCCCTGCCGCCCTGACCATTGCTCTTCGCTGTATAGTCCCCAGGTGTAGGGAGACAGACATGGAGCACTGGCCATTGAAAAGCTTGTCCCTCGAAGTTTCCAGTAGAAGGGACGCCTCTCCCTTCCTCCATGCAGGGCCACGTGTGGAGACAGCAGGTTGTCCCTGAGGCAGAGGGAAGGATGACAAACACAGACGTGAGCTTTCACTGTAGTTTCTGAAGGAAGGGTTAGGTGAGTGGGCCGAACAGGTTAAGATATGTCGCATTGGGGTTAGGTGTAGTGGCTTGTAGCAACTCCAACTCCAGCACTCAGGGGCCTGAGGCAGAAGGAATGTCATGAGTTCTAGCCAGCCTGGGCTATGCCATGAGACCCTGCCTCAGGAAAATACAAAGGAGTTATTTTGAATAATTTTACCTCGCTTTAGGGTATGAGAAACGCGCTGGTTATCTGACACTTGGGCCAGGGTCACTAAGGGGTTAGGAACCCGGGGCCCCGGAGCGTGAGAGCCTGGTGAGAAAGAGCAGGATGCCACTTGCAGCTGGTGACCCAGGCTCCAGTGTGGGACTAGACCGTAGCTTACAAAAGAATCAAACCAAGCTGAGACAGAGTGGACAGAGGCAACCGTGAAGCCGTCACTGTCCTGGTGGCATGTCATCCCCCTCTCCCACCGTGGGCAGGCAGGAAAGGAGAGCAGATGTGGGCCCCCCACTTATTTCTTGGGAGGTTTCCCCAACTCCCAGTAGTACCCTTTGCTGAGAACCAAACTTTGCTGAGGGTTCTGGAATTATTCCACATCCAAACTATATCAGCAGCCTAGAAGTTCAAAGAAAGAGAGGCGGCATTTGAAGTCAAAAGGTTTGGAGACTGTCCCCGTCGAAAGAACAGCCAAAGACAGGCCGCGGAATGGGAAGATGCGAGAAAGCGGATGCCGCTGGTGCCGAGGAGGAGCCTTCTAGGAGCTGGGATTGTGCCCAGTCTTGGAAAGTAAACGGTACAGTGAGTTCCTGGAAGCCAAAGAGGAGGCCCGTGAAGGCAGGGAGAGCAGTGAGCAGGGTGCCAGAGAGAGGGGACACGGCCGGCCGAGAAGGGGGTCAGTCAGCAAGGACTGGACTACAGCAGAGTTTAGGCAGGGAGTGAGAACGGGGAGGTGCACTTCCAAGAACTTGGGCTTCGTGTATGAAGAGTCAAGGTGAGCTGGCAATACAGAGCCGGTGTGGGGCTTTGGCAGTTGAGTTCAAATGGGAGACAGGTGAGCCTATGGTATCACGGAGAAAGAGGAGACAGGGAAGAGCTGGCCGACCAAAGTCTCTTGAACAAAAGGAAGGGAAGACAGCTCACTCGCAAGAATTAATCTGTCTAAATCAATAATTAGAACCTGAGTGAAGGGAATGGCTCCGTCTGTAAAGTTCTTGCCTTGCAAGCATGAGGCCCTGAGTTCAATTACCCAGAACTCCAAGTTTTTAAAACTGCATTAGGCAGGAGAAATGGCTCAGCGGCTAAAAGGGCACATGTCTCTTGCTGAGGAAGGACCAGGTTCGATTCCCAGCACATACAGCGAGTGGCTCACAACCATGTATAACTCCAGCTCCGGGGAATCTGACACCTGCTTCTGGCCTCCTTGGGCACCTGCACTTACTTGTGCATATCAAGACACACACACACACACACACACACACACACACACACACACACACACAGAATCATTGGAACCAAGTGTCATTTGTAACCTCTAGTTCCTTCTGAGCCTGTGTACATGGATTGTCACTCTTCCTTTCTGCGCTAGCAAAGACTCAAAAGTCGCCCTTTCTCCACTTTCTAGGGGAGATAAATCTGGAAACACTGGTAATTCGGGATCCACAGAGAGAAGCTTGTTATGTAATATCCAGGCCATCATCCTTGGGCCCAGGCATGAGGGTCCACTTTATATGTTTAGAGGACCACACTCCTCCTTGCAGGGCAAGGAGTCTGCAGCTGAAAGCCATAGTCTCATGGGTTCGGCATCATTTTCTTCTGT